AATGTTTATAATTTAAAATTTAACTTTTTGATTATAATAAATTACAAAGTAATTATACAAACAACTTTATTAGAATACAAAAGAAAGTATATTAAATAAAATTAAAGATGTTTTAAAAAAAATAGACAAAAAAAAAAATTTTTTTTAAATATTTTATTTCGTTTAATTTGATTGGTTGACCTGAATTATATCAGGTCGGGTCATAAGCTTGATCCGACCTGAAGTTGACCTGAAAATTTGTCTACCCGACCTGAATTTTTTAGGTCGGGTTAGGTCGAATCACAGGTTGACCTGATCTGATTCAGAGCTCTAGATAAATAATATATCATATTCTATTTTTTTAATATTATTAATTGTTTTCATATAAAATTTATATCAAGGAAAATGGCACCATCAGACGATTCAGAAAGAACATACTTACTACTATGTTAAAATACTTTGTATTATATATAGTAGCATTATTAAATACTTTATAAAATGTAAATTTATTCACGAAATATAAAATAGTCATATAATTTTGAATATATAAATTAAATAAATATTTATTTTTTGAACTTTAATTATTAATAAATAGTTACTATTTCAATATAAAATGATATCTTACTCATTATTTTAATCTTGTAAATATATTTTTGTAAATGTATTACAGTATTGATATTGAAATTATATATTATTAATATCATTTCGATATCATATCTGTATTGTAAAGATATCGAATCGATATTGAATTTGTAACAAATTATTATTATATATATATCATTTTAATATCATATCGACATCATTTCGTTATTAATATTGATATAATATTGATATAAATACGATATCGAATCGTCTTTGTAACTTTATTGTATAGATATTATATTAATATCATATCGGTACCATTTCAATACCATTTCGATACTAATATCAATATTGTATCAATATCGTATATGCATCAAAATGATATAGTAAAGATAAACTTAATGATCTCAATTTGATTATTGTCAAAGCATGGTAAAATTATCATAATGATATGAATTTAATAACGAATCAATATTTTTAGAATTTTTTAGTTTCTGTAAAGTATATATTAAAGAAAAGTATGTTAAAGATGCATAAAAAGACATACAATTAGAAAATTGATATACAGTATGCATGAAAAATTATGATTATTATTATAAATAAAAATATATATATAATTTTTGTAATATTTAATATAAATATATTTATTTAAAATTTATTTATAAATATATTATTTTTATTCAAATTTTTTCAGTTTAAAAAATGATCAGATAATTTTGATACCCTTTATTTTTTCTGTGATCTTAGTTTTTTTGAATCATGTGATATTACCTAATGAGCTTTGAATTATAGATCACCATTATCTATTTATTAAAAAGAAAAATTTACATACTAATTTAAAGATGGTTCCTATTTTTAAAATTTTTAACTAGTTGCAACTATCTATGAATTTTTATATTAAAATAAATTTACAAGGAGTTGCAACCAAGTTGTAACTCAAGTTGCAACTTACCAAGTTGCAACTTCTTAATTATGATGCATTCAATTGCAAAGAATATCTATAAATTATTTTTAAGATTGCAGAATTTATTAAAACAGGTAATACTTGTACATAGATATAATAATCAAATAAATAAATAGATTTTAATAATACAATATAAAGAAAATGCTAACTATATATAGTTCCAAAAAGGTGTAATTAAACCTTATTATCTAAAAATAATAAATTATTTTGTAGGTATAATAATATTTAAATAATTGAGTAATTGAATAGAAAAGATTACCTTTTTCTGGATCAAAGAATGCATATTTCAAATTCTCCGTCATATTTAATACATTATTTCTACAAGTACAAGAATTGTGATCACAGCTAATATTTATATATTCGACTTTGTTAGATATTTGTCTCGGAAAAATTGGACCATAATTATTTTCTGCCGTGAGAAACAAACTAACATATTTTGGATTTAACTTAGTTGAAGGATTAGTTCTAGTAAGTGTGTTTCTTATCCTATTAATAATAGTACTACGTCTGCAAGGGGATATGCCATAGGCTTTAGGATCATGATAATTTGAAATGATGAGTGTATAAAACGTAAATTTGGGTAGTTTGACGCAAATATGTTCCTTCAAACTATAAGAAAATGTGTATGATCCAACTTTATTTTCTTCCTGAACATTGAAAAAGCGATGTCCGATGACATGAGAAATTTTTGAAAAGTCCAATGTCTTTAGCACAGGAATTCCAATACAAGGAACATTACCGCTAAATGAAATACAATCAAAATTTAAGTGCTCGCTATAATGTGTTTCAGATGTTGCATTAAGATCGTTTTTAATGATTTTTAATTGCATATCATCAAATTCCGAAAGAATAAAATTCAAATCTGTATAGTAACCAATAACCATCCATCCAATTTTCAATTTACATTTCTGTTCTCTAAACCTTTCTTGAATACAATAAATTAGGAGATTTGGTTTTGCATTTGGAGGACAAAGTATTTGACAGTTAAAAGCATTCTCCTCAGCATCAATAACAGTTGCAAAAATATTACAATCAGCATCCTGGTTGTGAATTATAGTTGAAATATGATGCGGGATGCGTAATTCATACATGAATGGTTCTCCCAATTTCACAAAATTACATTCAGTGTTATTAATTGTTGAATAATGAATTTTTTTCCCTAAAGATAAAATTATTCGTTTACGTAATTTTTCAGACAAGGGTTGAAAGATACTAATTGGATTTTTGAATTCTATGCAATCCCAATTTCGAAAATCTTTTAAAGATTTAACCCAAGCTTTTTCGTCAAAATTTCCAATACTTTCAGGTTCTTGTCCTCCAATAATTTTTGTGCACTCATGTTGATAGGAATTAGATTTTCCTTTTGAAATTGTGGAATCAATTCCTATTCTGTTCTCTATTGGTCCACCACTTATATTTATAGAACCTTTGTTAGCCTTTACTTCAGAATATTCCTTTAAAACCTTATGCCCCTCATAGTAAGCTCTTCCGCCCAAAATAACTTCAATTGGAATGAATTGACCATATTCTTCAGTTATTTGCTTAAAATTTTCCGGGTTTCTAGATTCTATAGCATATTCTACTGCATTAATAAAATCCGCAGTTGGTTCTAAATGTTCGCTGAATTCTAAAGAAGCTTTACCATGTTCTGTATAATTATAAAATGAATTGATTCCAAATTTAAAACTTTTATTTTGTTCCATTTCAAATTTTACTTCTAACTTAACTAAATTCTCTACATACATATCGTTGGTAAAAAATAAATTTGTTTCCTTCACCCAATTTTCATATGTACTAAATTCAATTTTTCCGTTTTTACATTTATCCGATTCAGTAATTTTACATTGCTTCATTTCAAATGCTCTCTTTTTTGCTATTTTAATTCCATCAAGAGTTACAGTGCGTCCATAATCTAAATTACGCTTTACGTTTAAAAATTTCCAATCAGGAATTGAATTTTTCACCAAGTATAGAATATTACCATCTAAAATTTCATTTAATTTATTATATATTTCTTCATTTCTTAGAATTTCAGCCAAAAGTCTATTGTTTTTTTTCGCAAATAATAATGTATCGTTCATTTCTATTTTTTTTTGGAGTATTCCACGAATTTTTGATAAATCATCATCTCGATATAATTTGACCATTTTAGGACGTTGTGATGGAGGGTCGTCAATTTGGACGAATATTTCTACACCATCTTTAAAATAATTTCCAATATCTAAATCATTAAAATTATAATTCATTTTTTTATGATTAATGGAAAAAGTTAAAACTACAATTAAAAAAAAAATTTATTTTAAGTCTTTTGGGAATTTTGTACGACTTTGTGACAATTGATTCAGCCAATATGTTGTAATTTGCGCACAACACATAACATAAGGCGCCGTCCTATGTAATTCAACTCCGGATTATTTTTGGATAAAACACCGGATGATCTCTCAAGATCCGGCATAACCACCCCGGATGATCTTAGTTTCTTTGGGATCATCCGGTATTTATCCAAAATATTCCGGAACAGAACGGCGCCTCATATTACATAAATTAGGAAGATCTCTTCTTCATTTTTTATTTCACTATATCAAAATGCAGAATGAAATAATTGAGAAAGCTATTTCTAAAGAGGAGTTAAAATTTTATGAAAATCACCAATTTAAAGACATTCAAGAAATTGGTTCTGGAGTTATCGGAAAGGTTTATCGTGCAACTTGGAAAAATTCTAGTAATTATGCATTGAAATCTATTCATAAACTCGACGACGCCATAGCTATAGAAATATTTGAGGAGGTAATTATAATTTTTTAACCTTAGAAATATATACTATACATTCTAATGTAAATTTTATTTTGATTTAGTTGAAACTTCACATCCGTATAGTTAATCATGATAACATTATTAATTTTTGTGGCATCACATTTTTCGATCAAGGTATGATAAATAATAAAAACTTAAATATTTGCAAATTATTTTTAAAATAGTACTTGGTAATTCAAAGCTTTTTTTATAATTAAATAATTTAGAAAGTAAATATGATCCATTGAGAAATTATTTGTTAGTAATGGAATATGCCGATGGAGGTATTCTTCGAAACTATTTAAGAGAAAATTTTGATAAACTTACTTGGGACGATAAATACAAATTGGCGTATCAATTGGCTAGTGCTGTATTATATTTACATGATGCAGGAATCATACATCGTGATTTGGTAATATATAATTTATTGCGCTTTTATTAAAGATATTGTTTAATGTATTAATTTTTTTTACAAATTCCGTAGCACTCCAAAAATATACTAATTCATCAAGGCGTAATTAAACTAGCAGACTTAGGTTTATCGAAAAAAATCAAAGCAGCAATTAAACAAGATTCAAATTTTTTTGATGTAATTCCTTATATTGATCCGAAAAAATTTGTAAGACCGAAAAAAAATGACAAACCATATATGCTAAACGAAAAAAGCGACGTTTATAGTGTTGGTGTATTGTTATGGGAAATATCGAGCGGACTTCCTCCGTTTGAGGATGAATGCTACGAAATTAGTTTGGCTATAGACATTATTCAAGGTCTTAGAGAAGCGATCATTCCCGCCACTCCTAAAGATTATGTAAAAATTTATTCAAGTAAATATATTATTTTAAATTTTACTACTGGATAATACATGAATATATGTTTATACTTACTCTAATATTCTTTTTAGAATGCTGGGAAAGTGATCCTGATAATCGCCCTGCAATGAATCAAGTAGTTGATAGATTAAAAGCAATAATGAGAACAGAAGATAATTCATCACGTGTAGAACCATCGCATTTTTATCCGAGTTCAATGGAAAAGTCTGATAATATCTTAAGCAGTACAAAGAGATCGTACATTTCTAAAAAGAATGATAAAGATTTAAATGTCTTTTCTGCTCCCATGGATTATAGAGCAGATCTGAACAGTATCGTAGCAGGATTAATAGCGCTATTGATTAAGGCAATAAATGAAGGAAAATCTCGTGAACAACTTCCTTCAATTCTACAAAATTATTTGTCATCACACAACTTCACTATTGAAAAGGTTTATAAATGGTTGTACGAAAATAATATGAATAGTTTAGACTACATATTTTTTATGGGATATTTAAATTTTTCAGGATTTGGTACAAATTTGAATTTTAATGAAGCATTTAATTATTTTCTTCAAGCTTCTTCAGGAAAGCATCCTATTTCTCGATATTTTTTAGGAATTTGTTATGAATTTGGATATGGTACAACTATTGATAAACGGTCAGCAGTTTCAATGTATGAAGAGTGCGTTAAAATAGGTCAATATACCGTGAGTAAATTTGCATTAGGGGTTTGTTATGAAAATGGTATTGGAATTAAAAAAGATGAAGGAATAGCTTCTTTTTATTATATTGATGCAGCGAATAATGGTCATTCCATTGCACAATATCGCATTGGAAATTTTTATTCGCTAGGAATTCATGTAGAAAAGAATCCCGATCTAGCCTTCTATTATTATAGCCTTAGTGCAAAAGGAGATTATTCTTTTGGTATAAATATGTTGGGTTATTGCTATTTAAAGGGTATAGGAACTTCCATTGATAAAAAGAAATCTTTTGACTTGTTTTTAAAGGCCGCAAATTTGGATTGTAATATTGCTCAATATAATATCGCTGTTTGTTTTGATGATGGCATCGGTACAATAAAAAATTTTGATAAAGCTTTACTATGGTACACAAAATCTGCTGATAATGGTTGCGATAAAGCCAACAAAAGATTGGAAAATATATCTGAAGATTTAATTTTTGAATATGGAAAAAAGAAAGCTGGTAAGTTAAATGTATTATCGATTTGTATGATTAACTATATATGAATTATCTCTAATAATTGGCTATAATTTCTTAGCAGTTGACACTGATACCGGTAAAAAAGAAGATTCGGTAACCGAACATAAAATAATACAACAGTGGAAATTGAATCACGGTTTATTTTGCGATGGAACTAGCATACAACCAAGTAAAATGGCTGTTTTAGTTGATGACGGCGATTTGTCTATAAATTTATATAAAGGTGAACCTATAGTTTTTGTTAATATAAACGACTCTTATTTACCTACAAGTCCACTTACTTTGGAGAATCATAACGTTGAGGTTTATTCGGATGTATGTATTAATTTTCCAGTCGTTGAAATCACTTATAGAGCTGATCGATTGGAATCTTTTTCAAAACTTACGGATGACGAATCATATGGGCATTTTATTGCAAAAACGTTTTTAGCCGGTGGACAGTTACTTATCAAAAATTTCGACTTAGGTACTCCAACACAAAGAGACATTTTGAAATTTTATATAAGCTGGGCATATAATATGGCTAGAAATAATAATGAAACTCCGTTTAATAAAAATTCGTTTGACTTTAGTAATTTACCAAGATTAGAAACTTCAAAAGGAGTGATATTAAATACTCTTCAAAAATTATCAAATTGGCTGAGGAAATTATATCTGTATAACATAATTAATATTATTTCTTATGTTGACCTTGTTTCTATAAAAGATGAAATAGCAACATCAGATAAGCACCTTGGAATTGTCAATTTTAAAGAGAAATTTTGTTTGGACAAGTGGGTTGGAATTACGGCATATGGTAAATTAGCAAGATGGATTAAAGATTTTCGCCTATTTCAAGGTCTTGCTATCAATAAATCTAATGAAATAGAAAGTAGTAAGAAATTTGCTATTAAATTCACTGATGTTCCCAAAGTAAATTTAAGAGATGAATCTTATTTTGAACTAATAAATCCAACAACAAAACTGGAAGAAATTTTAATATCAAATAACATTTTCTCAATTAAAAATATTAGAAACTTTCCATTTAATAAACATGATGATTTTATTGACAAGGAATATATTCGTTTAATAGTTAAATATGAAAAATACGAGATTTCGATAAGAAGAGATCAGATAAAACCTTCGGAAGAATTTAATGATGCCATAGAAAAAGCACTTAAAAATATGAAACCATTTAATGCCTTACAAGATGTTTTTAATGAATATGGGCATTTATTCCCATTAAAAATTATCTTGGGGAAAACTCTTAAATATATATCATCTACAAATTGCTTTGGTACGTTTGAAAGGATTAATTTAAAATTACCGATCAATTCCTTGCAAACATATCTGAATAATTTAAAAATCACATGCCTCACAACGCATAAAGGCGATGTTATTGAAGATTATGATCAGTTTCAAAATGCAAATAATGATTTGGAAATTGTTGAATATGATGAGATCATTTCTTTGTACGATGTTCTCGACGCAGAACAAAAGAAGAATATTGATTTTATATATGATAATAACTTGAAAATTATAATGACTGGGATAAATGATCTTAAAGATTTGGATATAAATAATATTGAGCATTATAAACGAATAAATATAGAAACATCATTAGAAGATGAAGATTATGAAGTATTTGGATCAATTATTACTAAAGATAATTTTAAGTCAGAAGATTTTTTTGCAAGATTTAGGTTGCTCGATGTTAATGGATTTTCTGCAATGATAAAACCTTTACGAAAATCTGAGGTCGATATCAGAACGTGTCACATTTTATGGATGATAGTTGGAAATCCTTTGAAATTGTCGGTTTGTAGTCCTAATTATCGAGAGATTAAAGTAGATTGCATTGAAAGATCTATTGAATTAAACGTTAATGATTCAAACTATACCATTAAAGCACTTCCTTTATCCAGAGGGGATACCATTCTTATTGATACATACTATCCTTCAACAAATTATGAGCCACATAGTATTTTTAAGTTAGTTGAGTGGGAAAATGAAGCTATTAATTTTCAATTAATCAAATCAACTTATAATGAGTCGAGTTTAGATAGTTTCGAAGTTCAACCTGATGAAAATAACGATTCTTTAACTAACATAAAGAATTCCGTAAACATAGACATACATGTCATTATACTTCATTCGGATTATGTCAGTTTAATGATCGATAATCATGAAAAAAAATATGATTTGGACTTATTTGGATATATTTTGACTAATGAAAATTTGAATAAGAAATGTCACGAACTTGACAAATTTGATAGCATTCAAAGTATCATTAAATCATCTTTCATAAATGTTGATGTTGAGTCAGATATTGAGGATTTATCTCAGGTAAGGTGCATTTTAACTTCATGTCATGTATACATTTATTTTATTGTTATATATCTCATATCATATAAAATAGAGCCGTGGTGATGTAAGGAAATTTCCCTCAGAAGTAATTAAAACTAATGATAATGATAGAGAACTTACAAAACCAATGTCTAAATCAAAACCATTAATCCGCAAAGTAATAGCACCATTTGCCAGTTTTTTACCGCTTATTACAGATGTAGCCAGAGTATTTAACGAAATTATAGAACTATATCATTCAGCTGAACATAATCAAAAAATATGTGGAATCTTGTTAGATAGAGTTCAAGTAGCTGATACATCCGTAAGAAATTTAAAAAATCGTAGAGCTGAAAATGTAGAATTCTTTTCTGTAACTAATCTTTATAATTTACAAAAGCTAGTTAATGTTATTGATAAAATTCGCAAATTGGTTGAAGAAATTTCCCAAATAAAAAGGTTATCCAAGTATATTCATGCTCAAAGTATTGAAAAACGTGTTAAAGAGTTAATCAATGAGTTTGATTCTACTATTCAACTTTTGCCATTTTCTTTGACGGTTGACTTTAGCAAACGTGCTGATAATGTTAATCAAGATATAAAATCCGATATCGAAGATTTATCTCAGGTAACGTATGATATTATTTGTACTTTATGATGAATACATTTATCTAATATACATCTTTATATAGTACCTTGAAAATATTGGCAGCGGTATAACTGACAATAATCAAAATGTTTCGGACATGGTAGTGCAAATTAATGCACTCAATAATACAGTTAATAATATGGTACATCAATCAGATGTATTCCAAAGTGAATTACTTGAATATAATGATTTGAAGAAGGAGAACCTTCAGATGATAAAAATGTAAGAAAATTTAAGAGAAGAAAACATGGAATGAATGTTTTTGTTGCATTAAAGTTGGTAGCTGATAAGAATAGCAAGGAAGAAGACATATCTAGCCTTAAAAGTCAAGTCACAATTTTAAAAAAATTGAAAGAATGTAATTATATCATTCAATTCCATGGCTTGACTTCATATGCAGATAAATTTTATTTGGTGACAGAATGGGCTGAATTTGGAAATTTACGTGAATATTATCAAAAATATGGTCCATTAGAAGTTCAGCTGAAATTGACATTTGCTCTTGACATTTCTAGAGGCTTAAATTTTTTGAGCGCCGTTTCGGTAATAAATTATTCTTCCATTTCCTAAGGAAAGTTCTTAATTCTAAATGTAAACTTTTTTTTATTTTGTAACAAAACTCGCCTCGATAGATCGTTCATCGTGATATAAGAGCAGAGAATATCCTAATTACCGATCATCAAACTGCCAAAATTGCAAATTTTAAATCAAGCCGAACAGTATTCGATAGAACTCAAAATCAAAAAGCAACACTCGAAGCTATACGATATTGTGCCCCAGAAAAATTATCCAATGGAAAATATAAATATGATACCAAGTGTGAAGTTTACAGTTTTGGTATACTTCTTTGGGAAATTGCCGAAGAAAGAATACCTTATGAGAGATTTGGGGAGGACATTATTGCAATACAAGAACAAGTTTGCATCAAAAACTATCGTGAACCATTTTCTCATAGTTCTCTTTTACCAATTGAATACCAGGAACTCTCAATCAATGGTATTAATACTTATTAATTAAATATAATAACTCTTTACATTTAAATACTTACTTCTGTGAATTTAATATCTTTAATATTTTAGCTGTTCATCACGATCATAAATTTCGACCTCAATTTTCAAAGATTTTTACCATGCTACAAGATCTTAAAAATAAAGGTTGTCGATCACCTCCTGTGCCAAAACATCTAGATACTTCCGACTCTCTTAAATTATCAGATGATGAAGTAAAAGAAATTATGAGTATACCTAATTTTGCAGATTTTGATTACATGACAGTAGATGAAGCAGCGAAACAACACAAACTTCCTGATGGTAACCGCGAATCGGCTTATAAATGTTTTGAAGCATATGCTGATTTAGGTGATGTGAAAGCAAAATATATGAAAGCATATTATATTCAACAAAAATTGGTTAGACTTGATATTGACCAAGCAGATAAAGATAAATTAGTTGCAGAATTATATAAAGAAGCCGCGGATTCAGGCGATGAATTTCCTGAAGCTCTATTACGTTATGGTAGCTGTTTATATAGAGGTGTAGGAGTTCAAAGGGATTTAAAAGAATCTGCCTTATATTTTACCAAGGCCGCTGAAAATGGCCAAGCTGTTGGTATGTATAATGCCGCTAGTTTATATATCTCTGGTGGATCTGGTAAACTAGATAAAGATTTAGGTGAAAAATATATGAGATTAGCTGCTTATAAACAAAATAAGCAAGCTATTGACTATTGCAAGAAACATGGTTTGCCTTTATAGTACTTTTTTATTTTTTTATCAAGTACAAATTGATTGATTTCTTTTTCCTATACTATTGAAGATCTTAAAATAAAAATAAAAATAAAATGAACATTTAAAATTTTTATTGCTATTCTGATCTAACTGATGTTAATTGTTACACGATTATCATTGCTCAAATTTTGCAACTAGGGTGTCACGAATGCTTCGGACCGAAGACTATGTTTAATTTCTGTAACCAATAATTTTTTGTAACAATCATTTTAACAGCAATATATTCTATAAATTAAATAAACTTAATGCTTTGCGCATATCAAATAAGCCTAAAAAAAAATAAGTAAATCAAAATGCGAATATATAATATAGCCATGTTGGAGTTGTTAAAATGCTGAATTTCGGATACGCCGGGGGGGGGGGGGGGGGGACAAAGTATTGCACACATTTATTTTTTCATTTATTTTTATTTTTTATAGGAACAATAGCAATTTTTTAATTTTTGCGAAACCAAGACATTTAACCTTTTGGTGGCGAACATTGACTGCCTGAATTCTTTTGACTTTTATCGCACTAAGATTTGGTACGTTTTTTGCGAAATCGCATCCCACGCTACTTTTACCGCATTTTGAATGCTTGAAGGCTGAGGATTACGTTTTCATATTTCTCCCTCAACTATAGATTACATATTCTCAACTGGGTTGAGATCAAGACTTTGAGCAGGCCATGGAATTGCATTTACCTTTTGAAAAAGCAAATACTTTGTGCAGCCGTCTTCCTGAAAAATAAATTTTTTTTTTTTGGGAAAATTCTTTGAGTTTAGGAACTGCATAATTGGCAAGAACACCTTTGTAAACTTTTCCAGTAGCTGAATCTTTGAGGTGTTTAATGGGTTCCAACTTTAAAAAAGTTTACATCATTTTAAAGGAATGATACAAAATCATTCCAATAGAACGAAAATACATCGTACTAAAGGAATAATACAAAAAAATCATTCCAATAGAATGATAAATTATTTTAAATAGAATGATAAAATGATATTCCAAAAAGAAGTTTATTTTATTATTCCTTTAGAATAATAATTTATCATTCTATTGGAATGATTTTTTTTATTGTTTCTTTAGAACGAAGTATTATCATTCTTAAGAAAAGATTTTTTTCAATGTTCTGATAGAATGATGATTTATCATTCTATTGGAATGATTTTTTTTAGAATTATTCTTCTATAGTACTATCAGAATGATGTTTTTAATCTTTCCTTTAGAATAATTCTTCTATATTCTATTAGAATAATACTTTTAATTATTCCTTTAAAATTAATTCTTTTATCATTAATATTATATCGACGCTTTTAATTATTCTCTAGAATAATTCTTCTACCATTCTATTAAAATGATGCTTTTAATTATTCCTTTAGAATAATTCTTATATTATTCTATTTAGTGTTTCATACAGATAAGATTAGATCAGATTTGGGCAAAATCACATTTAATTTAAATCTGACAAATCTAAATCCAATATCTGTATTTGAATCTGATCTAATTCTGACTAATCCAGATCTAAATTTAACAATTCCAAATCTAAAATCAAAAAAAATGGTAAAAAACTTATTTCAGTTCTAAAAACACCTAAATATGTTTTTATTTAACATTTTCAATTATAAAAAGACTTAATATTTCTTACTATTAAAGAGTTATATTTTCAGTTCATATAAAAAAACATAAAAAGTTCTCTTTTTTAAAAGAAATATAATTCAGATCTAAAATAGACCTGAAAAGATTCTCTTTATTAAAAAGAAACATAATTTAGTTCTAGAAAAGTTTCTTTTTTTAAAAAGAAACATAATTTAGTTCTAGAAAAGTTTCTTTTTTTAAAAAAAAACATAATTTAAATCTAAAAAACCCAAAATATTTTACTTTATTGAAAAAAACGTAATTCAGAATTAAAAAGATCCAAAAGATTTATTTTATTAAAAAGAAATGTAATTCAAATTTAAATAAGATCTGAAAAGTTTCTCTTTAATAAAGAGCAATGTAATTCAGATCTAAAAAAATATTTGAAAAGTTTTTCTTTAATAAAAGGAAATGTTTTTAGATTCTAAAAAATACCTGAAAAGTTTCTCTTTAATAAAGAAAATATAATTCAGGTCTATAAACAATAGAAAAGTTTATTTTTATTAAAGGAATATATAATTCAAATAAATCATATCTAAAAAAAAACCTGAAAAGTTTCTCTTTTTTAAAGAAAAACATAATTCAGATCTAGAAAAATCCAAAAAGTTTATTTTTATTAAAAAGAAATATTTCAGTTTAATTTTAGTTTTTAAATCTTTATTTAATCTGACAGATTTGAAATCTAATTCGAATCTGACAGATTTAATCAAATCCAATTCTGAATCTGACTGATTTAAATCTAATAAATATGATTTAATTTGATTTATGAATTCAAATCAAATTTATATCAAATCAGATTATTTGCAGAACACTATTTCTATCTGAACAATATGTTTCTTTTGTCATTCTATTAGAATAATACTTTTAATTGATTTTTAAAAAGGTTCATCTATTGTTCTAACAGAATTATACTTTAATCATTCCTTTAAAATAATTGTTATATCATTCTATTAGAATAATGATTTTAATTATTCCTTTAGAATAATTCTTCTATTGTTTTATCAAAATCTTTTAATCTTTTAGAATAATTCTTTTATTATTCTTTTAAATGAAACTAAATATTATTCAATTTATAGCTTGAGTTTAGAACTTAACTTAACTTGATTAAACTTATCTAACTCATAATTCAAGTCAAATCATTTAAAATTTGAATATATTATTATAAACTAAAGTTCCGCAATTTTATTTGATATTTGAATATTTAATTTGATTTGATCAAATTCAAATCAAAAGAATAATTTATTTGATGAAATATAAATTAATATTTGATTTAATTCGAACAAATTCAAATCAAGTATTCAAATATTTGATTTGATTCAAATAAATAGTAAAGTCATCTGCAAAGCATCTAAAGTGATTTTTACAAAAAAACTATAGTAAAAATGCTTCTGTATCTTCAAAAATACCTTTTTTACTAAAAAAAAACAATAGTAAAAAGTGTCTCTACAACTTCGAAATACCTTTTTGACTAGGAAAAATATAGTAAAAAATGCTTTTGCAGTTTTATAAACATTATTTTATTAGAAAAATATAGTAAAAATGTCTTTACAATTTTAGAGACATTATTTTATTAATAAATCATAGTAAAAAATTGTTTTGCAATTTCAGAGAAATTATTTTACTAAAAAAATATAGTAAAAAATTTCTTTGCAGCTTTAGAAATATTATTTTATTAAGAAAACATAGCAAAAATACCTCGTAGCTTTAGAAATATTTTTTACTATAAAACTTAGTAAAAAAAAATGCATTCATAGTCTCAGAAAAAATTTTTATTAATAAAATAATTACAAAGCTGAGATAGCGGTTATTACTAAGTTTCTTAGTAAAACTGAAAATACAGAGTTATTTTATTAAGATTAACAGTAAAAATTCACCTATTATTTAATTTACTTTGTAAAAGCTATCTTTAAAATTTTTTGATTCATTTACTGCATTTACTAGTAATTTTCTTAATTAAAATTTTAGAATAACTTTATTTTAATAAATTTAACTTATTTACACTATAATAATAAAATAAATAATAAAAATTACAAAATATGCTATATTTAAAAATTATTAAAATGACTGGTCATTTTATAATTGAACGGATAGTTTATTTGACATTTGTCATTTGAATCATTTGTTAATCATAATCATTTAATAAATACTATTATAAAATGTATATCATGCTGATATAAAAAAGATAAAATGGTTTCTTGATTATACTTGTCTTATTTTAATATCATAAGAAGAAAATAACTTGATTAATTATTTTAAAGTTCTAGCAAAATAGTCATATTTACCAAATCCAATATCTCTTAGATATTCATTTATAATATCAAATTTTTAATAATACTTTCTTTTATTTAAAGAGTTGTTTAATAATTAGTGATATTAAGATCACTTTTTTTAGATAAAATAAAAGTAAGGTTAAATTTTTCTTATTAAACTAATATTATAAATTATTTAATTTAAGCTTGAAGTATTTCTACAAAAACTAATAAAAAAGTTTTTTGTTAGCTATCACTAGTCGAAATAATTTATTTCATTACTTTTTTAAAGTGCCAAATGTTTGGTAAAATATAATCTAATTTTTGCTGATCATTGCCAAAACAATCAGCATTTTTAGTTATAGCTGATGTTGCCCAATTCAGGTGCTATACAAAAAAACATTCGACATTAACGATTGGTAGTCATTTGATATGTCACTAGGCAAAATAATACAATTCGTCACATTTAAAGTGCCGAAAGCGAGCCAAAATATAGTCTAATTCTGCCAATAATTACCAAAAAATCGGCACTTTGAATAAATAGAAAATTGGATATCAATCAGTATTTATATTAAAAATTGGTCAAAATCAGCATAAATCAGCTTAAAATCGGTCAACAATCAGCAAAAATCAATTAAGCAACTATTTATAAAATCAAAACTAATAAAACTCATTTTTTGTTTATTTATGATTTATAATTTTATTTTATTATTACATAATAAATTACTCAAAAAGAATATATATTGTATTATAGTTTATTCAAAAAGATATATTTGATTTTTTAAAGATAAGAAAAAATAAAGAAAACCCCACCAAAATACCCTTCCGAAGGCTTACCTTAATGTATTCCTAAAAAAAGTGAAAAAAAATAAAGAAAACATTTAGAAACCTACCAAAATACCACTTCCGAAAGCTTACCTTAATGTATTTCTAAAAAAAAGTAAAGAAAAAATAAAGAAAACAGTTAGAAATCCACTAAAATACCACTTCCGAAAGGCTTACCTTAATGTATTCCTAAAAAAAGTAAAGAAAAAATAAAGAAAAAAGGTTAAAAATCATCTAAAAGTACCTTCCGAAAGGCTTATCTTAGTTTTAAAAAAAGAAA